TTTTAATCGACTGTTCCCTTTGGTATAAAGATTGCCAGGCATAAGATAATTATCCTTTCTCTTTGAAATTAATGCAATGGCCACTCTTTTCCGATTTGAATATTTTGAGAGCTTCCAGTGTCCTTATTTGGTCAGCATGCTTAGATCGTCATATGATGGAAGCTTCGTCTAGATAGGCTTGAACATTGTTGTCCACGGCATACCTGGCTAGGGAAGTGTTGTATTTTCTTTTATTAATATCATTTATTAAAATATGATACTGACAGATTATAGATATAAACTTCATAAACTATACCTCCTGCATCAGCCTTTAAGGATTGTTCTTGATGGTATTGACAAAGGCCGTTAAATCCTGAACTGTATTCCAAAAAATAACAATGTTGTTGATATATATCCTGTAAAGACGAATGTTGGGGAGGAACTAGGAGAGGACTTTGCTCTCTAATTGTTGGACTACCATCTCACATAAGTCTCCCAATACTGGGCTACCCATCGGGGCTCTCTTTCCCTGATGGTAGATTATACCATTAAATTGAAAGATCAAATTGTAACAAATTAAGTGGGCCATCTCTAGGACATGCTGATGGGGAGACTTGTCATTGACAATGTGAAACAGCATATCCTGGAGCACACAAAAACATGGAGGAAATTTAATGGAGAGGTAGAGAGATTTAAAGTATAAAATAGTGATGTACCGGGAGAGCAGACTACTCTCAATTGTTATAGGAGCTCCACTGAGCCTCTGATGATGTAAAGATACCCCGCCAGGTGGGGTGTGAGAAGGGCTTGGGTGGCCTTTTCACACCCTACCTGTGTGGGTGCTCTGGATTTGTCTACAACTAGATGAAGTTGTTGCCCATGCTTATGGGTCTTCACAAACACAATTAAGGACATCTGGGATGAGAACTGTTATTCAGAGCCAGGCACCCATCTAGCTTAGTGCAGGCGAAATGCTTAACTCTAGATTGTAATTTATTGATGTACCCATCTTCAACCTTTTCACATTAAGTTTGTTCTATGTACTCACTTAAGCCCTGTGTGTATGAGTCACATTTCATGAGAACCAATGCTTTGGTTTTGTCAGCCCTGATAAGTAACCTTGTTTAGTTGCATCTAATGAATAGAACATCAAATCTTCTCTCTTAGTTCCAAAACTTTGGAACTCTCTTGCTTTTTTAATTTTGAAGGTTGTCATCCAGCGTTAATATTTTTTTTGCCTATTTGAGAGACCTTGCAGGAGTATTTTCAAATCGGGGATGAAGCATCTTGTATTTGTTCTAGGAGGGGGGTGCAAATGCAGGTTCCTATTTCAAGACTTTCACTACAAATCCCAGTAGCTCTGTCACCCCATACCACAAACAAGAAAGATGGAACTTGAAAACATAGTATCCATTCAAATTTTTTCTTGTACTGTTTCTTCAAGTTGATTCTCAGTCTATCCCGGATATTAACAAGTTTGGCATTTTCAACAGACAAGATCACTTGGTTTTGGTGGAACAAATAGTTTTCAATTTCTATAGTCCTCGCCAATTTTGAATACACCAATTTTCTGGTTGAATGAATGGCCCTATTCAAGCACATCAACTTCACCTTGGTAAGAAGAGGTTCAAGTTTATTTCTTTAAAAAAAAAAAAAAAGCTTTTATGTTCTGAAATGACATTCTATCTGGTAACTGTTATAGTGCCTGATGAAGAACTCAGGAGGAGTTGGAAAACATTTGTCTTGAGATAGTTCAGTTTTTTGTTTTCTTCACACAGGTTATTGGTTTTGTTTGTGTCATTAAGTATTTCCCAGTGTGGTATGTTATAATTTAATGTTTAGCAATGTCAGCTGAAATTAAAATATACTGTAGAACTGTGTTAGGGCCAGACCTTGATTTGAGTTCCTGATGGATTGCAAAAGGAACAGTTTTTTACCTATGTTGTTTTTTTTCATATTTGTCTTCCCTCTGGAAGTGAACCTCCTCTTACCAAGATTGAACAGGGCCATTCATTTGACCAGAAAATTAGTGTATTTTAAGTTGATGAGGATCATAGAAATTGAAAACTATTTGTTCTACCAAGACCTGGTAGTCTTCTCTGTTGAAAATGCCAAACTTGTTAATATCCAGGATAGACTGAGAATCAACTTGAGGAAACTGTAAAAGAAAACATTTGAATGGATATTACATTTTCAAGTTCCTAGGGTTGTAACTACCCCTCTTTTTTGTTTGTGGTATGGGGTGACATAGAGCTACCAGGAATTTCAATTGTAGAATTCTGTTGGATGGCAATTATGTTTAAAAATAAACTTAATTTGTGTTTTTAATTGGATATTTTTTCTGTGTTTTAAGAGAAGTTTTAATTTTGATGGCCAAGTAGCTTACAGAGAAAGGTCAGTCATCAAAAATTTGTATTCTGGAACATTGAAAGTGAATAAATGGTGGTTCCTTTTTAAACAGATTTTATCTTCAATTTTATTTTTAAACATAATTGCCATTTGACAGAATTCTACAATCAATATTACTGTTAATAGGTTGAACATTTGCACTTCAGTATTTTGCAAACTGGGTTCAATGTCTTCTTACATGCCAGTGGGGTCATGTGATTCTTATCATTACATCATCACAGCCTACAAAGTGTTAGTTATGAGGGCTTTCATCCACTCTTCTACTTTCCAAGCTCTTGATGCTGAATTAGCACTAATAGAAGAGTTAGCCATTGCTCATAGTTACTCTAAAGTTGTACATTGGCTAATTGATCTATACCACTGGACCCATCCAGGATCCACTGAACATTCCATGAGAACCAGAATACAAGAACATGTTTCAGACATGCAACATTCTAGAACTTTCACGGCCCTTTCTACCTGTACAGAGATCCAAAATTATGATGTACTTCATGCAGGCCAAACTTCTCACTACACCCCATACGGAGCACCTCAGATGGTTGGAGGCGATAGAAATCTTTAAAGCTAATTTTACATCATCCTGTATAAATTTTAAGGAGAAAATGATTTTGTTGATGGCCTGGCAGGCTCTACTTTACACAACAGTATAGTTGTTGGTTCAGTTGTCATTATGCACAGGACAATGTATGTGTGGCTTTAAATTTTTATACTCCTACTCTGAATTCCAGTTCTTTCAAAAAAACTTTATGTTCCAAAACAACATTCCATCTTGTAACTGTTATAGCACTGATGAAGAACTCGGAAGTTGGAAAACATTTGTCTTGAGGTAGTTGTTAGATTTTTGTTTTTTTCACATCAGTTATGGTTCTGTGTGTGTCAATAATAAAGTTTTTCCAGAAATTATATAGGAATGTCTTAGTGTTACAATTACTTCTATTTAGTAAGATCACATTCTGGCAGATTTCAATTTTTGACTGTAATGTGCAGGTGTACAATAATGTATAATTTCTTGAAGAAACTAGAAATGATAGATACAAGCCCCAAAAAAAGTGCTAAACTACTACAGAAAAAGTTAAAACTGGATTATTTTTTGTTTAGTATTAAATGTCATAAAAAATTTGCTCAGAAGCTAAACAAACCAAAAAATGATAATTAATCTCAAGCAGTAAATGAAAAATTTAAGTTGTAAAATATCAAAAACATGCTAACTCTAGCAATCCTACTCTTATTTCTATTGATATGTACTCATACTGACTGTAAGTAGTATTTGTGGCACTGTTGATATAGTATGATTAGGCCAATTTTCAATGTTCCGGAATACAAATTTTTGATGAACAACCTTTCTCTGTAAGCTTCTCTGTAAGTTACTCTCAGTTTTTACTGTACTTTATGAGTACAGTAAAAAGAATTATTTTCCTAATATATATATATATATGAAATTAATATATTTTTTATATATATTATGGGAATGAAATGAGATACTATGTAATGAATATATATGAGATACCATGTATTATGGAAAAATACATATAGGAATATACATATTATATTCCTATATATATTTTTCCATACATAGTATTTCTAAACAGATTAATAGCACTAGAGGATATCATTCAATCAAGAAAAGTTTTACATTAAGTTAATATGAATTGCATAGGGAATTAATTATATTTCTTATCATTATGAAGGGATTTATCATTATATCAATAATTGCAATACCAAGATTTGACTATATGTTTAAAGTCAAATTTTTCTTCTTTCTTTGTCAAGGAACAAAAATTTTGATTAAAAACACTAGCCTCATTAACATTGAAACTTTGTTCAAATGAAAAATTTCTTCTTTTAAGAGAAATTTCAAAATATTTTACGAATGTTTGAATGACAATTCACTTCCTGATTTGTTTGTTTGCTGATTTAAAGTTCACACAATATAAAAGAGAATGTCTGCCATTTGTGTTCAGCTATGGCAGTGTTTCTCAATGAGTGCGATATCGCCCCCATGTGGGCATTTTTCCATGTTGAGGGGGCGATTAGTAACAATTTATATTCTGGAGGCAAAAACCAATTTTCTGGGCGATATAGTAAAACATTATATTAAGAATAATTAGATATTTTATTCATTATGTCATACAATAATTAAACAAATAACATTATACTAGTCACTAGTCTATTCAATGCAGTACGAATTTGGCATTAGCTGTGGCCCTCAGCATCAGAATTTTGAAGTGAAAGGGGTGATACTACGTTGATAGGGGTGATGATTCATTAGAGGTTGAGAAACTCTGATCTATGGGAAATTCAGTTAAAAATAAATAAACAAATAAAATGAATTGGAGTATTAATTGCTCAGTAAGCATAAGCAGGTTACAATGTTATGAATAATGATAAATTACTAAAACTTGAAATATTTAAAATAATAATTTGTTTCAAATATCTGTGATGGTAGCTGTTTATTCATTCATACATATATATGTCTNGTTTTGTTAAGAATTAAATCAGTTAATTTTTTTACAATAATAATTTCAATAAATTCTATTTATATTAAACTAGCACTTTGAATCATATTAAATATGATAATAATCTAGGGTTTCTGAGTTTTAACTATTTTTATTTCTGGAACTTTTTCCATGCCTCAAGAATCTTAGTCTATATTTTTTTCATATTAAAATATGATTTATGTTAATTAGTTCTGTGTAAAAGAATATATTTCTTTATTAACATGAAGAAAGTGTTTCAGACCCACTCTGGCTGACCCTTTAAAATTGTGAATATCTCCAGAATGCATAAACATAAAGGCAAGCTGAAGATACCTTATGTAATGAGAAACAAATCCACATTACAAATGGTGTTGAAAGTGCCTTCCCCAACATCCACACAATGCAACATGATGCTCCATATTTGTGAACGTCCACAGCAGCATGTCACTGTTGACGGCAGAAATTTCACACTAGATGTTTTCTTTCAGACGTCCAACAGTCTTAAGTTTGTTTGCATACATTTTTTCTTTTGCAATGTCCCCATAGAAAGAAATCTGATGGGCTTAAATCAGACAATTGCAGTGGTCACACCTGTCAAGATGACCCTATCTCCAAAAACAATCTCTTCCATACTGGCATGAGAAGTATGGCATATTATTGCCCCATCCTGTTGGAAATAACCTTTCTGAAGTTTATAATCAGCCAATTGGTTCACACATTCATTGAATATGTACAAATATCAGTTGGTATTCATATTGTATTTAAAGAAAATTGCAAGAACAGGAAATTGTACACCACACTTCAATCTTCTGGTCATGCTAGCTTTGAGGATTTTTTGTAATTATAAGGTATTTGCAAGTTAAATTGCCTGGAAAAATGGTTCACTGATCGAGCATGATTGCAAGTGATATCAAGCAGCATTGCATTGAGTGAAAAAAATTAGAGGAACTATTGGTAGTGTGCTATGTGCATCTGAATATCTAGTACCTTTAACTTCTGAATGGCCATGATGTAGTATGGCTTAATTTTCTCTTGTTTTGTGACCTGCTGACAACTGGAGCATGAATACCTGATTTCTTGAACCAGATGATATAATTTTTGCAGAGAGTGTTGCAAATGGTCATTTAAATCTTGCAATCTCATTCAACATTCAAAGTTGACCTCCAGAATGTGAATCCATCAAGCTTCCTGTCTTTCCAACTTTTTGGACAAGTATTTGGTGGTGATCTTGCTAGACAATCATCATCATCACCCAAATTTCTTCCAGTATTCTCTGTGACATTAGGTTATTGACCAGTAACCCAGTAGGTCCTCACAATGAACACACTGTGGTATGGTGTAATGCATTGTTGCTTTCACTACAATGGTGAAGGAAATATGAGAGAAAGTCTTGTAGCCAGTCAGATGCTACAGTTGCTGCTGCTCTGGCACTCTGCACCTGCTATCCCTGCTCTTTATGGCATGCAATCAATTCTGCATGAAACAGTGAATGTTTTGAGTCCTGTTTTGTGTTGTTACATGCACAGGTTGCAAAGTTATTTGCAGTTTTAAAAGGTCACCCCAAGTGAGACACTCCGTATGTGATTTGGGTTTAAAACAATAGAAATAGATGTTAAATTTTCAATTGGCTATTAATATGCAAAACTTATCATAATGATTACAAATGACTTTATGGTGACTGTTTTACCATTTCAATTTTATTGACTCCAATGTGCATTTCAGACATTAATCCCTCTTTAGTTGGTTACATTATTATATAATATTTAGTTAATGGCTAAAATTCCATATTTGTTTTTTTTAATAAAACAGATAAAGTATAGATAAAATCAGAACTATTATATTGCTGCAATTTGAAATAATTGCTTGTTTGTCTGTCTTTTCTTAATCTCAAGAATGGAATTAGATAGCTTGAAAGTTGAGATTACACATGGAAAGCTTAGGGGCAGGAGACTGATTAACTACAAATGAACTTTTGGTTTGCACAGAAGTCATGTTATTTCAATGAAAAAATTTTTTCCATGAACTGAGTTAGATAGATGTGTGAAATAAGCTGGGGGCTATAGGGGAGGTGCCCTATTAACCAATTAATTGGCGCAGGTTGTTAAAACTGACCTCGGAGTCGTCAGATGGCAAACTTGATAGGAGGGCAAGTTAATGAGTGGGGAGTGCGTTGGGTAAGCTGATAGGTGTCTGTTTTCCGAACAGACAGGTTGACAGGTTAACATAACAACTGTTTAAAATTTTTTACAGTATTATAAATTAGAGTGCATTGCTTGATAGAAATTTGTTTCATGAATAAATTTGTACTAAATCTAAAATATTCTTCAATAACATGAACTGTAATCTCTCCAGTTATAGGTTTCATCAAATAAATAATGTGACTGAAATAAATTTTTGAATTACCTTATCACTTAATGTTTATTCACAAATAGAAATGGCTGTAAAATGCTTTTCCTCTTTTACGTATTTTAACTTATTTGATATCTGAACAAATATGATATATATTTATATAGGATATGTACACATACATTGCACAAAGCTATATCTCACTCGAGGCCAGGCAGAGAAATCTATCATGGTTTCACACTTATTTTTTGATTGTGTCCAACCACTTCCCATTTTAGTATTTTAACTGGACAAAAACCTTGTAGCAATCTTTGAATGCTTTATGACTCTATTTAAACTATGCCACTATCTTTCATAGGATCCACGATAGTATTTGTCACCACGAAAAAAGAGTCGTGACAAATCAACATTCATTGGTTATCTAAATGAATGTTGATTACCTAGTGCAATTGCATTTAGTTATTACATAGGAGAAATGAGATTGTAGCCTGGTGCAATGCTTGTATCTACAGCCTATGATTATTAATATATGATTTTCATAAGAAATTAAATTTTCAGAAAGGAAACATTCAGATGGTTTACCTTCAATTTGTGTTTTGGGTAGAATTCTTCAGTTGCAGAAATTAGATTCTATTGATATAGCACACATATATTCTATGTATTTGAAAATAAAAGGCTCATGTAGTGATCTCCTAAATAACAGGTAAGGATTTGAAAATACTTAATAGCTTAAAATATGTTTTGTTTAAGATGTGTTTGCAAGATAAACACAAACTTAGACTTCTTGACATTGATGGTAAAGATGATATATTCATTTCAATTAATTCAGTAATTGACATTGCATATTTTTTTTTTTTATAAGTTCAAACAGTTTTTGCATTTTCAGTGTTTTTATACATGTAATAATTTTTTTGATTTCAGTAATCTTCATCTGGTGGATGGTTATCCAAGAAATGAAATCCCTGTAGAAATAGGAAAACATGAAAGACAAAGTTCTGAAACAGAAATATCATATATGTCCAGAAAGGTATTTAGTAATTATTATGATGTACAGTACACATACACATGCGTGCATGTACACACAGTCTAACATGAGATATGGAATGTAATATTTGCAGAATATGCACTGTTTGAAGTAGCATATCTTCTATAACATATGAATGTTGATTCTCTAACTCTAAATTCTCCAGATGAGGATCTGGGTTCCTTGGAATGGCTGTTTTTTTTTGCTACTATTTGGAACTATGATTGCCTTTTCAACTTAGTTGGAAGAATCAGAGAGTCAACATTGTCCTGAAGTCTCCTGGAATTGCCATATCTAAAACTTATATCTTCTTTTTTAAGATAAAACAAGAAAATACAGCAAAACTCTTTAAAATTTTTCCTAATTTTAATACATGTTTAAGAAACGAACAAAAATCATATTTAGATTAAGTATAATAAAACTTCTAAATTTTGGATTTGGAGGGAGCAAAAAATAACCAGTTTGAATTATGTAGGTGTATTAAAAATGCAAAAATTTTTATTTTGGTGTAACATAGTAGAATAAGGGAAGTAATTCTGTGACATATAATGACATATTCAAGCCCATGATATTTATTTGAATCAGAATAATATCATTCATTGTTCTGATAATGATATATCTAAATTTGTTTATTGAAATTATAAAATTATCTTTCTGTTACAGTGAAGTTATGCATTATGCAAAACTCCATTTTTGAATTACATAAATTTTCCTGTAGATGATAATTTATGTGGTTTGCAAATACATCTTTAAGAATGTGCAAAATCTTTTATACAGTATTAATAGAGCACTGAAGACAAAATTCTTGCTGGCTGCTACCAACGAAGAGCTCTGCTCTAAATAGAAATATGAATTACAAAAAAAATCTGTATTTTCAAATGGAAATTAAAAAACAAAATACTGAAATAAACTTTGGCTACTATGATGTCCCTTTTCCACCTACTGGATCCCTAATTTAAGATCTCAGTTCAGTACGAGATTGAGACAAACAGATGGTGGCATTAATTGAGATTTGACTGTAGTAGTTATGAGCAAAAAGCAATACAAAAAAATCCTAAATATTTTTAATTAATTACTCACACAACACAATATTATTGCATAATTCCTGTATTGTTTGAAAAACTTGAAATGTGAATGTAGTTATCACAAGTTCATTTTTTTCTGTATGTTCCATATTGAAATAACATGCAATCAATTCTAATTTTCACATATATATATTATTTATATATTGAAATAATCTTCATGTAGACATACTTATATATTATCTATACATAACTAAATTAGCTGTTATCTAGCTATATTTCTATCTTCATAACATTAATGATTCTCTAACAATTAGATGATTGTAAAAATGTCATTTAATGTTTTATTTTCTAAAAATTTTTTTGTTATTTTTTTTTTATATTACAGATATGGGAATTTCTTGTTGCCCTAAGTGCAAAAGATTTTTCAGTTATGGTTGTACTTCAGCAGTTATGTGAAAAGTAAGCATCTCTCTTTTATTTTAAATTAGATCATTGACACAAACAAAGTAATTTCATTCTCGTTTACTTTCCCAGTGCCGTTCCACTCGTCCCATCAGAACACATAATCATGGGTTTGAATAATAAGTCTTACATATTCTCCGTGTCGGTCATCGATCTCGATTCGAAGCCCCTGAATAAAGTAGAGAAAGTTTACAACGAAAATCAAGAAATGCTAAAAGCTTATGCAGTAAACGTATAAAAACATTATCTTAATTATTCAAAAACCATAATTTGATATACTATACAAATCTGTGTTATAATTATTCCATTTATTTGTCAAATGTGACTTGCAATTGCTTAGCAATAAATCTGTCTAAAACAAGTTTGTAAATATTATGTACATAGTTATCATGAAATTGAAAATGGCAAAAATACTCTTAATACTCATTTGACTAGAATTTGCCACGATTTCAATAGTATAACTATTTCACATATTTCTGGAAAAATTGAACTATATTTTAATATAATATAAACAGTATTCTGCAGCAAAATGTAAAGATATTACTGCAAATTTCATTTCTTTAATTACAGTTAAAAGTAAAATTCTGACCGTACTAAATTACGGTATTTTAAAATGTATTTTGAGATATAGCTTCGACGAGACAGTCGTTATACGGAATCAATACAAATCACAAACCAGAATACTGTAGAAATTAAATGATTAAAATGTTTTAAAATTATGTAAAATTGACAAAAACATTTAACTGAATTTTAACTGAAAATCTGAAAATTTAGTTCCTATGTACATTTGTAATTGGAAGTCAAGTTTAAATTTGCATTCTAACTAACTCTATATTATCAATTTATTTCTGTTTTCCTAAATTTCTGAATTATTTCTATGTAAATAAGAGTTCTGTGCTGTCATATTGAATTTATAGAAGACTACAATAACATGATTATGCATTATTTCAAACAGTTGCATCAAACTTGGAAAATTGATCCGGAAATGTAAATATATTAACTGTTTTTCAAAGTGTAATATCTTGCTATCTATATTTTCTTGAACGACCACTAAATGCAACATCTATTTTTTAGAATTTATTTTTATATGGGTGGACATTTAATTAAGATCTATTAAATTATTGTGATTACCTTTATTAATTAGAAACAGTTTGTTAAAATTGCATTGCAATTTTCAGAAATAGTCACGTATATGTGTATATGTGCATCAATTCTTCATTTTCTTGGAAGTACATACCAAAATTTTTCAAGATAAATGTTTATAAATGTGAAAAAAAAATAAATTTATTATGTGACACGAATGTGGATTTATTTTAAAATAAAAACATGTTCTTACACAATTTTGAAATTTTAATTTGAAAAATTTTTTCTTCTTGTAATTTATTCTTTTTCTTTGCAGCTTTTTTTTTTTGCTTTGTTTTTTCGGGAAGAATTTGTGTTTTGTGAAATAAATTTACTGGCAATTTTGTTTGCCAAATTTTCTGAATTTTGCCTGTATACCATGTCTATTCCTTCTTCTAGTTTTTCCAAACTTCCTAAGACATTTAGATTTGCAGGCGATTTTCTTCCTTCATTTTTGGAAGAAATCATTTTTATCTCACTCTTCTGCCAAGGAGTCGACTTTTCTTTTTGAAAATTACTTCCAATGGCGGTTTCAGAAATTTCTCGAGTAACTACCGATTTATTCTCTACATCTTCCTTTCCCGTACCCACCATTAGCTCCACTTTAACTCCTGCAGCACCATCGACACCCATCGCTTCTTCCGAATCAATATCAATTTTTACGGAACCAGCTTGATCGAAAGTAAATTGTTGGATCCCTTCTGTCAACCAATTTGCTTCGGAGGATTTTATGCATTCTAATTTTAATGAACTTTCTTTTTTATGCGTGGCGAAGTTATATTGTTCCTCGTGTTCTTCGGATTTTTGTTCTTCCGGCGATTCTTTAATTTTAATTATTGTCACAATTCTTTCTTCTTCCCCTTCTTGTTTCGTTTATGGAACTTGCTCTCTGGAAGCAATTTGGAATTTTAAATCCATATTTTCTGAGGGTAATTCAAGCATTTCCTCATCTTTATCTTGTATTATTTTTTTCTCATTTAAACACAATGGAGGGGAAGCGATTTGAGATGATTTTGAAACAACAATTTTTGTTTGCACTTTTTCAACATCTTCCGTTTCTTGAGGCTGAATCTTCTCTACTAAAATTTTTTCATGAATTTCTCAGATAGGCGCCACAGTTTCTATTTTTTCTGAAGAAATTTCCGTATTTATTACTGGATTTGTTTTATTTTTCTCGGAAATTTTAATAAGAGATTTTATAACTTCTAAATCGTCTTTTATATTCGTAATTGACTTGGATAGTTCTACGTTTTGAAAACTTTCCGATGAAATTAATTCAACAGCGTTGTTTCGTGTGTTGTTTATATTTATCTGTGGAGCCTTTTTGGCACTATCCAATGCTATTTTGGAAAGTTTTTCTTCCGATTTAACTGCAATTTCTTCTTGATGTTTAGCATCATCTGTTAATTCTTCAAGTGATGCTTTTAAGTCGATTATATTTTCTTTATCTGTATTTATGGATATTCCGATATTTATGATTTCATTGGATGGCTTCGCTATTTCTTCCATCAATTCTTTCTATTCTTTTTTAACGTTTACCACTGATCTCATGTCATTTTCTGATGTTTTCGCATCCGTTTCTTCATCATAAATGCGAATATCCATCGTCTGTACCTACTTATCTTTGGATTCTTTGGAGCATGACGTGAATTTATCGCTAACGGATTTATTTTCTGGAATTTCCCGCTCGGTAATATCCATTTCATCCATCAAATCTATAAGATCTTCCACTTTTACTAATCGTAATTTCATTTCTTCGATCTCAGTTAAGAAATTTAATTGAGATTCCGAAGAAGGGATTTCAAAACCAACAACCGAGGAAGTAAGCGATTCGCAGGGCCGGCATCGGGGGGGGGGAGTGCGGCGGATGCTGTGCACCGGGGCCCCGCGATTGAGGGGGCCCTAACATTGTCAAGAATGCACAAGAAAACTCGACAATATTCCTATCGTTGTCAGTATGACGAAAAGTACATTTTATCGTAAACATTATTATTGTAATCTCTGAATTTCGACAATCTTCAAACTAATTCTCGGTGATGAGAATGTTTAGTTTTTGTTATTTCATTCGGGAAACTCCCGAGGATCCCCACCTAAATTCGACTTTAAAAAAAAAAATCTCAATACCATATAGCCCGCGTTAAGAAATGAAAATAATACTGTGGCCGTCGGTCATATAAAATTATATGTATACTTGCATATAGTCGTAGTTTTAAGTAAATACGACTCTGTTCTAATGTATCATATAAACAGAATTGTGCATCATTTAGCACATAGATCACAAGAACAAATTATTTCTGCGTTAGGAGATGAAGTCCTTAACAAAATTAAAGACGATATAAAAGCAGCCACATACTATAGTATCCAAATGGATTGTACTCCTGATATTTCCCATAAGGAACAAACTTCAATTATTATTAGGTATGTAAATTTTGAAGAGAAAAGATTAATTATAAATGAGTCATTTATAAAGTTTATTGAAGCAACTGATGTGACTGAAGAAGGACTAGCAAAAACTCTATTGAAAACATTAAGTGAGCTTGATTTAGATATTATGAATTGTAGAGGGCAGGGATACGACAACGGTAGCAACATGAAAGGGAAATATAAAGGTGTACTGTACAATCTAGAATAATTGCTCTAAACCCTCACGCAATATATGTGCCTTGCCTATCACACTCTTTTAATTTATTAATTTGTGATGCTGCTTCCAGCGGTATATATATTGTAAAAATTTTTTTGGGATATTGCAACGTTTATATTGCTTATTTTCTGCATGTACAAAGAGATGGGAAATTCTACAAAAGCATTTAAACATTACTTTTAAACCATTATGTGACACTCGTTGGGAAGCCAAAATAGATTCGGTTAAAGCAGTGTACATGTTACTGTGAAAGACCAAAATTAGAGAATGTCGATATTCTCCGGTAAATGTCGACACACACAAAATACGTCGGTGAAAGACCGAATATTTGGTTATATTATTAAATATTCGAACAATCGCCGGTGTATGTCGACTAGCACAAATAAGCTTTGGTGGAGGTCGAAACGACACCCGAAAAGCCGATGTCGACAGAGAGGCGACAGTCTGTCGCCAAATCCTTTGCGGATAGTCGGAGGTAAGACAAGGTCGTACCTCTTTTCCTGGCAACGGTTTGGTGGAAATCGCTTACTTTGTCACTGGATGGAGTTTTTGTTCTTTTGATCTCGTGAGGTGGGGATCGGTTAGTCAGGTCGAGTGGCGGAGGATGAGAGGGTTCGTCGGTAAGGCGTCGGCGATATCCGAATAAAAGACACCATTAACAGATCAGTTCGTAATCACGTAATTACGTAATAAGGTTGTAGTTTGTAAAGAAAAGTTACTTTTCATAGATGAGATTTCTTCTCAAGAAATATCGCTGAGTAAAGCAGCTACAGCTAAATCGAAAGTAGAGGGTAAGGCTATACAGTAGACTTTCCTATAACACTAGATATTTCCGTGTTATATGAATTCCATGTTGTACGAGTCACTTAGATTTTACAAATACGTGAGCCGTTCACAGCCCGACACACGTATTTGTAAAATCTAAGTGACCCCTACAGTGTTATAGGGGTCTACTGTACACGCTGTCATTGCAAAAAAGAAGTGTACCACGAATAAATGCAGTTGTAAAAGCAAGGGACTCAAAGTGCCATAACAGTTTAAGTTATTGCAATAAATAAGATTGTACAACGTCAATCACATAATTTATGTGTAAGTTTATTATTGTATTATATTCTTTAATGATTTAGAACGTACTGTTCGTTTTAGGTTCAACAGTTTATTTATATGTGCCGTTACTTAAGCTTTCTCCTATTTTGACATATTAACGAGTTGCATTTTTGTCTTAACGTAATAAAAAATATTTTTATTGAGCATTCACCATCAGTGCATGCTGAATGTCGACATTTGCCGGTGTAAGTGAGAAATAATGATATTTAGCAAATATTTCGTACATACACGAAACGACTGTGTGAATGTCGACATTCGCCAGATATCGATCATTCACAGTAACATATACACAGTTTGAACAAACTTGTAATGCCCTAGAAGAATTTATTTATGTAAGTAACGATAATACAGCGGTATCCGAAGCTAAAAGTCTATTGGATTCAATACAAGAAATGCCATTTATTTTATGTTTAATAGTATGGTTTGCAATGTTGTGTAAAATCAACGCTATCAATATTATTTCAAGCAAAAACAATTATTCTTGAGTCGGCTTTTAATTTAGTCAATAAAATTAAAACTGAAATCCAAAATTTAA